ACTCGGGGTGACTAGGTGAAGGGAAGTTGGGGGGCGCAAAGTGTGTTTATGATTTTCTCCTTTCTACGCCGCGGAAACTCTTCGCGCAATCGTTATTGGTCTTTTTGAAGAAGCTTGCCAAAAAATGTTCAACTCTGCGCTCCACCGTCTTCCACGCGGTCCCCACCGCGCCCGCTTTCTAGCGGCAGCCGCCGTGTCGGGGGAGATTTTCCGTGATAGATTATACCATCAGATGTTGTGTCATGGAAAGAGTGGATCTGCGGTGGTGCTGTACCACCGCCGCCGCCGCGGCCGGTGCGGTCACCGAAGCAGTAAACGAGTTTTGTATCACTATGTATTGGTTTATTGTTTGGTACCTCAGAATGTACATTGATATCGTCGTCGCCGCCCGCCGCGCGGGACACCGCGGGACAAACGACACAAGACGGATGGCACTAAATACACATACATAAAGGGCGACTAATTTAAATAAATACAACCTAATTTACACATAGATCCTCCGCTAAATACAAGGCACTTATCACACACGGCGCATCACGACGCGCCGCACTCGGGTCCCGGACGGGGTCCAGGGCCTAGGCGCGGACGGGGGTGGCGGTGCTGGGGCTCACGCTCACGCCGGACCTCTTGCGGGGCTCGAGGGCGATCTTGAAGCCGTCGGCGCGCTTGAGGATGATGTCGGCGGTGAGCTGGTAGTCCTTCTCGGGGACGGTGGACTTGACGCGGTAGTTACGGAGGATGGTGGAAAGGAGGATCTTGAGCTTGAGCATGGCGTACTTGCGGCCTGGAACGAGGTAAGAAATAGATGCGTTATTTGAATGCCGAAGGATGGAGAGAGCGAAATTCACTGTGGTAAAACCGAAAGATGGAGCAGGGGCAAGAGAGGGAGAGAGGCAAAGAAAGAACGTTTAAAAGAAAGAACAGAGTAGGGAAAGAAGAAGAAGAGAGGCGAGCGCAGCCCGACCTCGCGTGGCTCCAGCCTCCAGCCAGGCTCAAGCATGCAGGCTCCAGGCGAGGGGCCGGGAGGGTGAGAGGCAGGCAGGAGGAGAGATCGATTGGGACCGGGGGACCGGCGTTAAGCCACGGGTGCCGTCTCTCTCGCTCGCCCGGGCTCCCCGGTTCGCCGTGGGGGTGGCCAACAGCCATGTGGCCACAACCAGGAAATGACCGATGGGACTTCCAACTACGTTCGTGCCTCGGAACCGCGGCGTTACTTACCGACGCAAGACCTGGGGCCAGCGCTGAAGGGCACGAATGCGTAGTAGTGGCGGGCAGCGGACTTCTCGGGCAGGAAGTTGTCGGGGTTGAAGACGGTGGGGTTGGGGTAGATCGTCTCGTTGCGGTGGAGCTTGACGGTGGCGACGATGACGGTGCACCCGGCGGGCACAATGCAGCCGTTGGAGGCTGAAATGGAAAGCGGCCGTTAGGGTTGGTACGAACGACAACGAAGAGAAAGGGACGTCAGCGGGGGATCTACTCACCCATCTTGACTTCCTCATTGAGCTGGCGGGCAATGATGGGCACGGGTGGGTACATGCGGAGGGTCTCCAGCATGCAGCGCTCGAGGTACTTCATCTCCAGGGTGTCCTGGAAGGTGGCGGGCCTGTCGGAGTCACCGAAGATCTGGTCCAGCTCCTCGACGACCTTGTCCTGGATGTCGGGGTGGGCACCCATCATGCACAGGAAGAAGGAGCTTCCGGCCGCGGTGGTGTCGTGACCCTCGAACATGATGGTGTCGACCTCCTCCTTGATGTCCTGGTCGGTGAGCACAACGCCGTTCTGGGCAGACTCGATGAGCAGGTCGAGGAAAGCCAGACGCTTCTTCTCACCGACATCGTTGTCATCAACATCCAGATCGTCCTTAAGACCAGCGCTCTGTCCGTATGACATGCCGGTGTCCTCGGTAACCTTGGTGCTCTTGCTGGCCTTGGTCTCAGTCTCAGCGACGGGCTTCATGCCGGGGTAGTTGGCGAGGGAGCCGCGGACTCCCTTGTTGAACTCGAGCTTCTTGTTGGCGATGACGCGCTTGGTCAGACCGTGGATGATGCCGAGCAGGCGCTTCTGCTCGCCGAAGTACTTAGTGAAGCGGAAGATGGTCTCGGGGCGGAGCCAGAACTTGGTGTGACGAAGGTGGAGGATGTCGCACATCTTCATGACGGCCATGGCGTACTCGAAGCCGGACTGCTGCTCCTTCTTGCTCACACCCATGGCGGTCTCGAGCAGGATCTCGACGGTGGCCTCGGACATGTACTCGTGGGCGTCGAACTCATGGCCAATCTCCTTGCGCAGCTTCTCGACCACACCACGGCTGTTGTGGTTGAACAGGTCGATGAAGGACTTGAGGACGTTCAAGTGGAAGGTGGGGGCGATGAGCTTGCGGTGGCTCCTCCAGTGGTCGCCGGTGGAGATGAGCAGGCCGTTGCCGAACCAGGGGGCGAAGTAGCGGTACTCGGGGGACTTGTCGAGGTGCACGTTGCTGCCCAGGATCAGCTCAATGTCACGGGGGTCCTGCAGGAAGACGAGCAGACGGGGTCCGATCCACAGCTTGATGGGGGCCTCGTTGTCGTAGTCCTGGGACCTGGTCCAGACAGTCTTGTAGACCTCTGCGGACAGACAAACAGTCGTGTGATGAGATGAGACTCAATTTCAGGCGCCGGGCACACCAAGCGCGGCAGACGAGAAACTTACGGTGGGCGTTGCCGGTGAAGTCGAGGGCGGAACCGAGAAGGGGCAGACCATCGGGTCCGTTGATCTTGGCGGCGAGCTCATAGAGGCGTCTGCGCGAGTAGCGGAAGTAGGCGTACCACAGGATGACGGTGGGCACCAGGAGGTAGTAAAAGAGGCCCGTGGGCGTGAGCAGATCGGCGACCGCCATTGTGTTTAGATCTGCAAAACGGAAGGGGTGTCTTGGTCAGGCAGGCGACGGGCGGCTGCGGCTACGGCGGGGTTAACCTAGTGCGAGCAGGTGCGGGCGGCGACTGGTGTCGGCCCGCGCGCCCTGCTCGCAGCAAGCCTTTGGTGCCGACGACCGACCTGGCCGGCCAGGCACTTCCGGTCCCATCCCTTGTATGCAAAACCCAACTTGCGCTAGGTCAGAGGCCGCGGGGCCGGGGCCGCCGCCCGCGGACCTCAGCTCGCCGGCCTATCGTGGCTCGGCGGCGCGGGGCGGGGCGGGGCGGGGCGCACCGCGGCCAGCAGCGATACGGTAGGCGGCTGGAACGACTGTGACGCAACGTCCACGAGAGTATACATATTATGGAGCGGGACGGCAAAAAACGCGGGAAACAATCGAAATATTTGAAACCTGATCGACAATGTATGACGCGCGCCGCGCGGCTTGTTGTGAATTAGATCAGAGTGACTCGCTTCGTTGACCGGATGCCACGAATAGTCAATGTTCTGGTCTAATTAACCATACAATGGCGGGCCGCCCGCGAGACTCGCACTCACGAATTACTAAACAGCGCGCCTGCCGGGCCGGCCTCCTGCCCCGCCGGGCGCGCGGCCGGCCACAGACAAACTCGGGAAATGAGCTATTTTCCGAATAAGAAGAATAGGAGGAATATCGTCTGCTCCCGGACCACCACAAAGCCATGATTGGTCGATAGGTTTTGTGATGGCCCGGGAGCAGACGATATTCCTCCTGTTCATCTTTTTTCGGAAAATAGCTCATTGGGCGGGTTCACCGATTACAGGGCTGATGTATCCAAGTAAGGAGGCTGAAAGCGGACAGATGTGCGTCCACAAGGAAAGCTCGTGAAGCCGGTAAAAGAAAACTGATCGACGACCCCGACACTTTTTCACAGGTTGACCCGAGTGGGAGTCGAACCAGCGCAGGCGCGCTCACACAGACACACAAATATATCACTTCACTAGAGGCGATCGGACACGGTACCTTAAGTACTAGATTTTCTCTCTTGTTCCCTGAAGCCCACAAGCCGAACTGGCCTTCTACGACCAGCCGCTCGGTTTTTATTGTTTTAGCGTGTGCCCCGTGTGACGCCATGTGGTGGGAGGAAGGTTGTCCCCCGCGGGGTGGGTGGCGGGGCGCGGGGGGCGGCCCGGGGTAGCCCAGGGTGCCCCAGGGGGAGACGAGGTCAAGCGAACAGGGGAATTGAATGTAAAAATGACTTGCAAGCGTCACCGCCGAGAACAGCAGCGCCGGCTTACGCGAACCATGCACGACCAGCCGAAGCATTGCTAACACTCTATCGTCACTATAGAACACGTCGCTATTCTCCTTTGGGTGACCCACTTCAGTCTCTTTTCATATCGTCTTTTCATATCGTTTTGGAACGATTTTTGGGGATGGGGTTCAAAGAAACCTGTCGTTAGAGACGTGTACCAGGTGGCTAATTCGCATACCGCGCCCTTCTAGAGGACGACTCACCGCATTGCGCGCGTGCGTGTGGGTTGCCTACTCGATCGGGCTGGAAGGCGCCGTGGGCAGAGACTCTCGGTGAACCGCGCGGCGGGGGGACGGATAATGCCATAACGCACACGCATCAACACGAAAAATCATCCTGTGACGGTATGGTGTATCACCAACTCGATGAACAAGAAGAAATGATTGTCAGGAAAGCATCAAAAAGGGGATAGTCAAACAGCGCGCGACTCTCTGATCTCTGGACATCGGTGGGTATAGTCTCTAGTTTGCACATAATGCTCCGATTGTGCTGAATCTGTCTGTGTTTCTACAGGGTCACTAATAATTGTCGAGTGATGTCGCTTTCCATAGTAGTTGTCTCGGAATTGCTAATGGATCAGCACGAGACAACGAGGAGAGTTACTTTTGTCTTGCTTACTTTCCAAAATTTCTATCATTCCTAGTTGTTTAACTACAATAATTCAAAAGCTTCGCAGCAAACTAAGTCGGTATGAATTCATTTCAAAATCCTCAGAAATGTGTGGGACAGAAGTACACAATTTGTTTCTGGCGTAGGTGTGCAGTGGCAAGGCCTGCAAAATATGCGTCATGCCTACGATACAGAAAAGACAATGTCCATATTTGCGAAGGGTATCACTTTCTTTTATCGGCTCTTTTTACAGTGCCTTGCCGGACGCTCGCCTGCTTGACGCGGTACCAGGCCTGTTGTTCAGGCCCCTCTGCCTGATGTCAGGTAACGTCATCGCGTTGAAGGGGAAGACGGGACTGACGTTGGGCTGATTGGTCAACCAATCAGAATCACAACCATGTCAGCCCCAAGTCCCCCTTTCCAAGCGTTAAGTCACTGAAATGTGATGACTGTAAAATGGAATCCCCTAAAAATGCCCTCCAGAGTGCTCGAGTGGCGGCGCGTTCAATGCAACAACCTTAGCATGACACGTCCCCGAGGTACGTCTTGCAGCGTTTACAGATCAGAGACGAATCTTTTCTCGACTCCCCCCGTCTTTGGCTCCGTCTCTCCGAGCCCACTCAGGTAAAGTTCGTAAAAGTTCCCTCTTTTGCTCGTGGCGGCGTTACGTCTCTCCCGCCGCGCGCCGCAGCCTCACCTTGAGCGCGCGGCCGAGCTCCTGGAGGGTAGGCTAACGTCTGCACGCACGCTGAGCGGGCGGCCTGCATCCCTAGCCACAGGCGCGCCAGTGCTCCCGCGCCCGTACAACTATCCGCTTTTTGCTTCAATATTCTATTTTAAAAAATTAGAAAAAAAAAAATCTGGGTTTGACAACCAAAACCATATTGATCATAATTTTCTATGGAAAAATTTTAACCAACAACCGGGGCTAAAGGGTCAGGGTAAAGCCAGCAATCTCGACAGTCATGGTCTAAATCTGCCCGCAAACAAATTAAAACTTCAGGCCATTTGAATGGTGGCACAAGCCTACTCTAACGAATTTACACGAGCACAAATCGAGGAGCAAACTATGGAAAGACCCCAAGCCAAGTCGAAATGTCGCCACTTTTCGAGATACTTCCTGTACAATTTGGGCACTTTTCTTGAATACAATTAGGAATTTTACGTCCCATTCCAAAACGCCTCCCAAAAGTTGGTGTTGTCGCGGCGCACAAAAAAATAAAATGTTGGCACTATTGACGGCTGGAACTTAAGTACGCCACACTGCACAGTTGTTGTTTTTTTCCCGCTTCTGTTCGATATCTGCCTGTATGTACTCACAGGTGTGCGACTGCATCTCGACCCGTTTCGTGTCGCACCGTCCAGATCGGAGGCTGGAGCGCGAGTGACTGATCCCCGGCTGCTGCGCCGGGCCTAAATAATTTCTGCAGCAGCGATGTCTCAGCTTCGGCTCTTCTCCACCCCGCCCGGCTCCCGCTGCGTGGCGGGGGCGCGGGGTGGGGTGGGGTAGGTCAGCGCGGGGAGCCGGCCCACACCCCCCTCTGGATAAGGGCTCCACGGCCGCGCAGAAACACAGCACCGCTGCAAAAGTACACAACACACACGACTCGTGTTTTCTGCTCACCCGTCATGGAAAGGAGAAAACGAAAACGCGATACGTGGTCATGTTCTGCCGCGCCTCTGCACTACTAGGCCAAAAAAATTGAAAGTAGCATTGGATCTGTAAAATGCTTTCGGATATGTTCAGTTTTCTTCTCTGCATCCTTCTCACGGAATCCGGAGTAATTATTTGCGTTATCTCCTTCGAGAAACGTTTTCCTTTCTATTCATAACAGCAGAAAGTTTTCGCGGTTTGGTCCAGCCCCGCGTGGCCCGCGTGCTGCTGGTTGCGTGGCGGCCCCGGCCTGCATTGTAAATTTGGGGTGTCTATCGGCTGTGCGACTTGAGTAACCTGATCGTAGAACCAGTGCGACTTGGATCGCACTGCTGCTCTGCTAGGCACCCAATCACATGATCGGAGAAAACAAATCGAGTATCAGCATTCCATGAACCTTGTAGGTGATGCCACTTGGCTGTACCGTGTGTCCACGCAGCAGTATGCTGGGATGCCTACCCGCTCCACCCGTAAGGCGCCATGGCCCCTCCCTTGGGTATGCAGACCCGAAACACTGTTGTGTCGTTACCCTGACACACGTTTTTACATCCCGCTAAGGCTAGGTGTAAAATATCGCAAGGTGCCTAGTACATGAATCGCACAGGTTCTGGGGTTGAGCGTAACTGTTCACAATTTATTCGTGCAGCTGATGGGGATGGGTGTGCAGGGCACACTAGCCCGCATGCAGGCGTGCGAGCGCTTGTGGTACCAGCCGCGCCGCCTGGCGGCACCGAGTGCATAGGCAACCCGCACGCACGCCGGCTCCGACGGGGCTGGCCGCGGCCCGTCCAGGCCCGTCCAGGCCCGTCCTCCCTTTGCGGCATTGCGCTTGTAAGCGAAAGCGAGGTATTGTCATCCTCCTCCCCCCCCTCCCCCTCATTTCCTTCTGCGTGCTGCTTTAACTCTCAGTCAGCCATGCCGTTCTGACCTTCAAAATCGCCCAAATTACGGAGCCTAATGGAGCCTGTCTGACGCCAACAGTCGATGGGGCTAACGCGGGGAAACTTTCTTTCCGGCCCGCACCCGAACCACAGGCGGTTATCTAGTAGATAGTGGGCGGAGTAGACAAACCACCCTTTCGACGTCCTAAAATTAATTTTGGACGCAGACACGCAGGAAGGGCAGAAATAAGATTCTCGGCCTTGCCGGGGAACTCCCGCAGCAAGTGGGGGCAGATCTCGTGGCTGAACCGTGCAAACGGACTGCGGTAAAATGTATTCGGTTTTTCTCCAAGCGGGGTGAATAATGAGAAGTCAATCGTGGGCCTTCCCTGCCGTGCTCTGCGATCGTCCCGCATTTCCGGTAGCAGACGTAAGGTTCAATGTATCAAACCATCGCAAACGACGACACTTTCACGGTTTGCGTGAGAAAAAAATAAACTATGTTCGCATTAACTCGTGCGGAGTGACATCTTCTCGCCCTCGTACAGTATCGTGAACAGCCAACATCCTCAAATTCAGAAGTGGTGGGTCAAGTGTATGGTGAAGTTGTAAAAGTGAAATTACTCTTTAACTAGTTCATAAAATGCAGACTGAGGTTAAAGATTTTAAAACAAGGTATTATAAACAA